AATGTGCTTTGATACAGCACTTTGGGAACATCCAACTTCTTTTGCAAATACCTTTTGAGGCTTTCCCTCCTTATGGAGGGTGTCAGTGATGGTTTTCTGCACAACTGGCAGGTCAGCAGTCTTTCCCATGATTGTGATTCCTACTGAACCCTTTGCAGGTGTTATGGCTTAATTAGCTGATTAGAGTGGGACACTTTGAAGCTAGAATATTGCACCTTTTCACAATATTCTAATTTTCTGATATTGTGGATTTGGGGTTTTCATGAGCTGTAAGCCATAATCATCTCAGTTATGACACATCACTGCTTGAACTATCTTGCTTTGCATGTAATGAGTCTGTCTCATATATTAGGTTCACCTTTTAAGTTGCATTACTGAAATAAATGAACTTTTGCATGATATTCTACTTTTTTGAGTTTCACCTGTATTTGGTTCTATGACAGGTAAAAAACCTGTTGTCTTCTAGATTTTACTGGGCTCCCAGCATCCCTCTTCTAGGCTACACCAAGGAGTTGTTTGCCACATTTCAAGGGCTAAAAGATCTCCAAAACTATTCCAGGGGTTCAAATGATCTCATTTACACGTTCCAGGAATATGTGAAAGAGGGAGATTGTGGGGTCACACACGAATGTCCCCTATACTTTCTAGGAATGTGGAATGTGTGACCTGGCTTTTATACCCATAACAATTTATTAAACAGGATCTATCTTGTCTGGAACAGTTCTGATTTGAAACATGTATGATGCCATATTCAGTCTAATGCATGTTAACTATATATCTGACATCTGATATACATAGTGAAAATGTAATTTTATGTGCATTAGCATAACAACCCTACCTCATATTCCTTGAATATATGGAAAAACTATCTGAAACCTTCCCCCCTACATCTTTTCCATTACATTGTCTTCCTTCCCTCATTTACCTTACGACTGACTCGTTCTCGTTCTCTGTGATCTCTGCTCTGACAGTTGTAGGGCGAAGAGATTTGCCTGATGAGGAGCTCTCTCTTGCTTGGAGGAAGACGGTCTTGGTCTTGGCTCTCCAATTTAAATTTTCTCCAGTCATTGATCACCCCTTTAGGTCCTAGAAGAAGAAAATGCTCTCATTTCATGTTCTTTGGGTTTACTTTCTTTTTTCCCCCTCTTTTTAATTTTCAATTCTTTTGCTGTTTCAATGAAGAAGGTTAGTGAGGAAAATAGAAAAGCAAATGCGCAGGCAGATATCTCCCCAATGGAGGCTGGAAATATTGCCTTATTATTAAAAAGAAATATCTGCAAAAGCTTTTCCAATTCAATTCACTCCAAAAATTACTGTATTTTAAACTGTTCAGAGTTGCTTTGGATAGTGAGATGGGTGTCATATACATTAGATCAGTGGTCCTCAGCCTGTGGGGCACGACCCCTTTGGGGGTTGAATGACCCTTTCACAGGGGGTCACCTAAGACCATCGGAAAACACATATTTTCGATGGTCTTAGGAACCGAGCCATAATTTTATGGTTGGGGGTCACATAACATGAGGAACTGTATTAGCAGCATTAGGAAGGTTGAGAATCACTGCATTAGATAAATGATTAGATAGATAGATAGATAGATAGATAGATAGATAGATAGAGCTGTATCAGGAGGCATTTGGGTGCAAAAACTCATAATTATGGATCTTATACAAATTTTGGTTCTACTGGTGGAAAGTTAGTTAGTTAGTTAGTTCTTGTGGTGATTGTAAAAGATCTGGCTTGGACTAATTATTTCTTTTAATACAGAAAATGGGAGAGGAAATGTAGAAAGCTTTCCAAATTCTATAAATTTCTCTTACGAATTGTGGGTCAAACATTAGTGGAGCTTTTTTTTCCAGAGCTT